TAAAATAATCTTATTGCAATCTCCTTTTTAGAGGTGTGCACACTGTCAGTTTTCACCATTTGCCCCAGGATGCAAAGCAAGCACTGGAACATTGATCAGAACTGGGAAAGGGGGACTTCAGTGTTACATGCCCCATCTTTCCATTCCTACCTGACAGTGCAAAGTACAAATGCTACTTACAAGGGACACTTATTTTTACTGTATTTCATTAAAAAAAAAGATTTAATGGGAAAGGCAGATTTACAGATAGAAGGAGGGACAGAGAAAAAGATCCTCCATCTGCTGACTCATTCTCTAAGTGGCTACAATGGTCAAAGTGAGCTGATCCGAAGCCAGGAGTCAGGAACGTCTTCCAGGTCTCTCACACAAGTATAGGGTTCCAAGGCTTTGGGCCTTTCTCTACTGCTATCCTAGGCTATAAGCAGGGAGCTGGGTGGAAAGCAGAAAAGCTAGGACACAAACTGGCACCTATATGGGATCCTGGTGCATTCAAGGCGAGGATTTATCCACCAGGCTATCATGTTATATCTTGCATTTTCATTTTTATGTCATAAAACACTTTTACATATCTTATCCCACTTTATAACTCCTTTGTTGTAAGGAATATGTATGAATAAATATTGGACATATTTTCCTTATGAAAAACTTTAGCCAAGATCAGGAACCACTGGTTTATGCTTATATGAAGAGTCCTATCAGACTCGTTTCTTTTGTTTTATGGTTCTCTCTATCATTCACATGAAAAATCACCATACATTGATACATGCTGGCTTGTAAGTTGCTAACAGATAGTTAAAATGTGACCTTCAGCCTTGCTTCTTAATGCAACTGTAATTAATTATGCTCATTAGCTGTCAGACTCTGATTTGAAACATGGCCAAGAGCACCAAGCAAGATGTCAATCCTTTTTGATTTCATGGTGAGTGTTTAGTTGACCTGATGAAGGGAGGAAAAGGGATATGAGCAAAGTGTGTGATCATCAAGGGTCTGGAGGAGCTGGTCTGAATTGCTTCCTGCTGGTGGCCAGCTTTCCTAACCTGGACTGTGCACTTGGCCATGAGCAAAGTCTAGGAAAGTGGAAAATCTTACCAGAAATGCCCGATGGGTTCTTTCCTCAGCTTAATATAAAAATAAAAAGTCGGGAATCTGTTGCAGATGGAAAAGTTTATTTGCGAAGGGACCAGGTGAGCAGGGAAGGGGGAGGGAAGGAGAAAGCACCTCCTGAGAGAGAGCCAGGAGGTGGGGTGCCTCTTGAAAGGAGAGAGAAAGAGACACCAAAGGTTTGAGGAAAGGTCTTGGGATTTTAAGCATTCCCTGACCCCTCCTTGTTGGGTGGGGAACCTACAGGTAAGATGTTCCCCATTGGTGGTCTCTTAATCAGTTAGGAAATGGGTGGGCAATGCTGGTGCTGCCCACCTGAAGGTGTGGCCAAGACCTCAGCAGGCCTCGATGGTATCAGAAAACAAAATGTAGAGGTCATGTCCACCAGACAGGAGGAAGTATCTGAGCACCCTCCCATTTACAAAGGAGCATGGGAAGCAGGGAGGTCTGGGAGGTCAGATCGGATTGTGAGTCCCTCTGTTGGTTGGTTTTCTGTTGTAGTAACAAAATAACCAGACAGGTGACTGGCGAACAACCGAGGTTTATTCGGTCACAATACTGGTGATCAGAAGTCCATGGGCACACACAGAGCCAGCACCTGATTATGGCCTTCTTGTTGCAGTCTAATATGCTGAAGGGCATTCCACGGCAAGACAGAGTGAGTATTTCAGCTTGGCTCACTCTTCCTCTTATGAAGCCACTGAGGCCCCACTGAGGGCCACACCCTCATCACCTCATGGAATCTTAATTACCTCTCTGAAGGCCTCCCTGCCCCCTGCCCCGCGTCTAAATGTCATAGGAATGAGGGATTTTGTTTTTCAACATGACCCTTTGGGGGACACTCAAATTGCATCCATTCCTCAGACTCCCTCGTGTCTCATCTTGGCTTTATCTCAGAGCACAGGAGCTGCAGAAGCATTGGGATAGGCTTGGGGAAAGAGGAGCCAGGCCAGCAGGTTCAGCCTCAGAGGCTGAAAGGAGCATCCTCACTAGATAGATTCAGTCTTGTCCAACCCTGCAGTTACCAGGTTATAGCACAGGGAGGTGTCCTGTATGAGGACCACAAGACAGGGTTCCTGGTGTTCCCCACACACTTGGCTATTCAGGAGATCCTGCGAACGTTGTCACATGGAAAGTATTTTTTTCATATTGAAGTGTAGTTCATTAACCACACACTCCATCCCCTTAAACATTTCCATGTTTTTTGCTATAGTCACAAGGCTATATAACTACCCACCTGACTGTGAATTCTCTTCTGTAATCGGAATCTGATGAAATGTGGTTCCTCCCCTAGCCCCTGCCCCTAGAGAAGTGCCTCATGTGCTAGTACAGACAGGTAGATTTGCACCTTTTTCTTCATCCTAGCTGTGGCAGGGTGAAGAAGTACTGCACAGAAAGGTCCAGAATGCTGTTTCCATGCATTTTGGCCAGGTGCTTCTGTTGTGCATCTGTACCCACACTCTAGTTTATTCCAGTGCCTGGTCTTTCAGATAAATGCACAATTTAGGGAGCCTCCCTGATAGATGACCCTGGTTTCCTTCAACACCAGTTTTGGCAGAAGTAACTGGAACATATATTTGAGGAACACATGTAGGTGCCTTCAGCGCTTTCATATAAATGGTAAGGCATAGCCCAAGCACTTCTTTGCTTTATTATTATGAAAAAAATTTCAATAATTCAAAATTCTGATTCAGCAGCAAGCCCCCTCTGTTGCTTATCAGTGAGTTGATGAGCCAAAGATGAATGCGCTCATCAGAGGCTGGAGCAAAAGCATCTCATTTCCAGAAAACAGAACGACTCCTTGCACATCACTTAATCACTTCTACATGGAAAGGACAGAGAGTCTTAAGTTCCATTAACCTTATCACTGCAGGGAGCGCACAAAATGTCTCACCAGTCCACTAGATAGCCAACAGAAAATAAGAAAACTGGAAGGGGAGAGATAGGACAAAATTGGGGGACATTCTAGCAATGTTTTGTCATGAAATATGTGTCTGATCAAGGTGAATTGCTACTCCAAATAGGCAAAAGCTAAGAAATTCCAGAGACATTTCATTCTGTCATAAAAATGATTTATTGGCACACCAGAAAGGATGACTTCTTTTTTCCCCCACTATAGTAACTCTATGCATGATTAGTTGCGATTCAGTGTAAACTACATGTTACAAGTCACTGGAAATCTAATTGGCAGGATGACTTTAATAAAGAACAAGAGTAACTGTGAGGCTACAGCGGCCTAGCCAGGGTCTCATGGGAGAGTAAACCAAATAGTGAGTGTTGTCCTGCAACAGAGGTTTTCTGTAGTCAGGAAAAACCAAGTTGGACATCAACAGGTTAGCACCCATTCAATAAATTAGGTACACTGAACTAGAAAATCAGTACAACCTATAGAAATCTTTAAAAATAAAGAAAGCACAGAAGTAAATCATTAGCTATTTATGTGTATGACTTTCTCCCCCCACCCCCAAATTCTGATTTGTTAGCTTTTCCATCCTATTTCTTCCCTTCTATTTGTGTTTGTTTTTCTTGTCTTTTTTTTATGGTAAATTTCTTAGCTCAGTGGAAACTATTTAGATAATCAGAAGTTCTTTTCAGGTCCCACTTTTTCTGACACTTCATGTCACACTGAAGAATTGGAAGGGTCACTTGGGTAGGTCTATCTCTTGAAGACAGAAGCTTTACTCTTATTACAAAGCTATTCTGGTCTCAGCTGTGGGAATGACACGTGACCTGATGGCTTCCCAGACAACCCAGCACATGAGGTCGTGAGTAGCAGCAGAGTGATGACTCTCCTAACTGTGACAGGCACGGAGAGTAGACATGGGGACAGTGTGTGTATCCTGAGATCGTGAGAATGGATTCTCTGACTTCTGATTGCTAGCATTCTTTTCTTTTTGTCACCTACTTTTAAGGCTTAGCATTGCTGTGGTATTAACACATATGAATGCTGACATCCTCTCTACCAAAGAAGAGCTCTGTAATGAGTGGTAACAGGTACTATAATTAAAAATAGCACAGTTGAAAAGGCCTTGAGTGGGTGCTATGTAGGGGTTTTAGCCTTGTTTTGGAAATGTGGAAAAATTTTGCCAAGGAACTTCTCTGATCTTAGTCTCGTCTGATGCAAATGAAAATTTATAATCATTTTAGTTTTTGCCCTGGTCTTCTATTAGCTCCAGGAGGGCAGAAGCATGCCTACCTACCCAGCACCATGTCTTCACAGTGTCTCAAACACAGTGCCTGGTCCACACTATGTTCTCAGCCAAAAATCTGTGTTAGATAAAGGAATTCCAAATCATCATGTTCTATAGTCTGTTTGTCTGCTTGTGAATAGAAGCATTCCAACTTCACATCAAGACCCTAATTATGGGGTCATCCAATCATCCTGCCAGTGAAGAGTGAAAATTCTCAGTTCACTCTGCCCACCTCCCAAAGATACAGCTATACGGAGCTTTCTTCCCGACCTCTCCCTATTGCCTATTTCTCAACAGAAAGAACAAGAAAAATAGTTATCAGAAAAACAGTCTCCTGGCAGTGCCAGTTCAGTAAGTCACCAATTACATGAGCAGAAGAGAAACAAACTATAACTCACCTACCTAGAAACTCAAGTTAAATCAAAGGAAAATCCAGGAGTGGAGGAGAAGTGACATGGCGGGTTGTGTAGGTCCACGGTGGGTTAGAACTGCTGGCTATGAAAGCGAACACAGGCGTGGCAGCAGAGGAAAGACAGGGAAAGGAAAGGGACTGAGCTTTGGAGGTGAAGGCTGTGGAGGACCAGCTTTTCTCTCCTGCCGCTGCTTCTTCTGCCAGCTATCTGCATCCCTCCAGGGCTGGCTCAGCCTCTCGCTGTGGCTCTCTTGGGCGAAGGCAAGATGGGCAGCTGGCACCTCCACAGCACGTCCTTAGGCTATTGATGCTCTGCTGGAGTAGAAGTCAGGGACGGGGAGCCCGGTGTGCAGCGTGACCTGGGGAACGAGACTGAGTGCTGCAATGCCCCATGGGTAACCCCATCCCACCCCAGTACATGGCACATGCTGGGTGTGCCTGTAATGCAGAACAGGGACTGTTTACTTCCCTCCAATGTCTGTTTAGCAGCAGACATTGCCCTGTGGTTAGAGCCTGGCCACCTGGGTGGGCTCTCAAATCCTGGTGAGACTTGCAAAAAGGAGGCTGCTTCGAGAAGTTCATGGAAAAATGCAATTGACAGTTAGGTTTTTTTTTTTTTTTTCAGCACCAAAACAAAATAAAACAAAAACACAAATAAGCCAAAAAACAAATAAACAAAAAATCCTGAAATCAAACAGTTTGTTGCTTAGAAGTATTTTCTTTGAACTCTTGGGAGACCCTGCACACTGTTCTCAGCCATTTGTCTTTGTACAAGATGCTGGGAGACTGTGCAACTTCTTATTGAGGACACACACAAGCACTGACCTGAGGGTAGGCATGCCTGTCAGGCACATTGCAGGAGGCACTACCCTATCCTACATTATGGCCATGGTGACAAAAACGGCCCCTTCTTATTAGGGGGACCCCCAATCACCCCAGTTGGGGTAAGCTCCTCCTGAGTTTGCACTGATGACTGCCAATTGTGAAGAAGCGTGGTGTGCTTCCCCAGCGATCCTCATGAGGTTTGTGGAAAATCGAATTAAAAGTTTATTTCAATGTAAAAATGCTGAACTTCATAACAAGTTTCCCCGTAATTGCATTTTTCACGAACCTCTGAAAACCCCTTGTATGCATGGGTTTCAATTTTTTTTGCACTCAAAAGAAGTAAAACTTCTTTTTAAATTCAATTTTCCATGGATTCTCCCAAACATTCTCATACTGTTTCACCAACTTCTGCTACATCTCCAGCCTCAGGGGTACCCATGTGAACCAGGTTACAACTATTTCATGCAATTGAGCATTCTTTCTCTTAAATATTTGGGACTGAAAGTGTTAACAAACTGGGGAGATTTTTAGATTTTGGAAAATTTGCATTGACGTGACTAGATGAGGATCTCTAATCTAAAAATCTGAAATCTAAAGTGCTCCAGAATCAGAAACTTTCTGAGCATCCTGACAGTACTCAAAACAGTTCAGACCTTAGGGTGCTGTCAGCCCATGGGCAAGTGTGCCTGCATCCCATATTGGAGTGCCTGGGTTTAAGTTTCTGCTCTGGGTTCCAGTCCCAGCTTCCTGCCAATGACAATCCTGGTAGTTCACTGGAATGGCACTAGTAACTGAGTCCTGCCAATCGCATGAGAGACCTGGACGTTTGTTTGGCTCCTGGCATCATCAGCCTTCAACCTGGCCCAGCGCTTAGCGTTCTGGGAAGTTACAGCGTGAACCAGCAGAGGGAAGTTCTCTCTAAGAGTCTGTCCATCTGTCTTCTGCCTCTGAAATACATCAATAAAACTTTAAAAGTCGTATGTGGGGAGGGTGTAATGGTACTGTGGGTTAAGCCACTGCGTAGGATGCCTTTATCCCATATCAGAAACCCAGCCTTGCTTTGGATCCAGCTTCCTGCTAATTGCATACCGCAGAGGCAGTAGATGATGTCTCAAGTACTTGGGTCCTGGCCACCAATGAGGAGGACATGGAAGGAGTACTGGGCTCCTGGCTTCAGCCTGGTATGGTCCAGGCTGTTGCAGGCATTTGGGGAACCAGTAGATGAAAGATCTCTTTGTGGTTCTGCCTTTTTTTCAAATAAAAATAATACACTTTAAAAAATAAAACAAAAGCTTTTGGATTTTGGAGCATTTCAGATGTTTAGTTTTCAGATGAGAGATGCTCACTCTGTCTTTCCTGGCTGGTGCCTTTGTCTAAATGTATTAAGAACATTCTGGAACTTTTTTGAGGAGTATCAAGTACTGTATTCTTTGGATGGAAGTTACTAAAACTATGGAGAGTTTTGGAGAATGAGGTTTGCTGAATTTCACTTCTAGAGAAATCTAAGATTTTATTTCTTGCGATGCAGAGGCTTAACTTGGACAGATTAGATGTCAGCTTCCCATCAAATGTAATCTACTTGTAGGAAGAGAAAACAGAGCACCCTGGCCTGCAGTCAGTTTCATTACATATCCTGTTAGACAACAGTGAATTTTGAAACATTCCATACAGTGATTTGATTCCAAGCCTTGTCCTAAGGCAGCCCTTTGCTGAATGAGGATGATAGCTGTTGAGCGGTGCTGCTCAGAAAAGTGAAATCCTATTCCATAAGTTCTAATGGTAGCTGGCAGGACGTGGCCCTGCACAGCTTGGCTCTGAGCTCTCCTTTCCCACCCATAGCGCACCAGCCTTTTTGCCCTTGTAAGCTTATGTGAGGCTTTAGACAGGTTGCATAGCCTGTCTCCTCTGTATGGGAGGCTTTCAGAAGCACATTCCTGATGACCTCTAAGGCTCAGTTCACTGTGCTTGCAGGAAGGCCTACTTACACTAGCCCTTCTGTCTCATCCTAGCACTCTTGATTCCTTCACTCACCCTTGGTTTTTTCTCCATGGCTCCTGTCTCCTTCTAACATACCATGTGACTAATGCTATAACTTTGTGTGTATTTCATCATCTGTCTCCTGTGACCCCAGTAATGGGGTGACATTATAGGATGCCAAGCTTTTTATCTCCCCTCCCCACGGATATGTTAAAGGAATTCTAGATATTTGTTAAGTGAATAAATGAATGAAAGAAACTTGTTTTGTATCTAGAATAAGTAAAAAATAATGGTCGTATAGGTAGAAACTGGGTTTTCTATGTCCATGGCAGCTGTCCAAGCTAAACAACAGTATAGGAAAGATGCCTGGATTTTCTGGTAACTTCCAGCTACATCTTATCTTCCTCCCAGGCACCCAGAGCTTCATGGAAACAATTTCATTTGCTCTTAGAGGTAACACTAAACTTGGATGAATGGTCATTGCAAAGTGTAAATATACTTCCATTTTCCTGTGTGTTGCTAACTAGACAGTGTTCAAATAAGAGGGAACTTCACAATGCTCATGGGAAAAAATGTAATTAAAAGGTAAGTACATTTTGATGCCCCCAAATTTGAAATTATGATGTTTACACACATAGATTTCAAAACTTTGGCACCAAAATAAATGTGTCTTTGAATTCCATTTTCCCACAACCTTTGTGAGGTCCCCCTCTATAAGGAAGGTGATTAAGCTGATATGGAGTCACAAGAGTTGTTCATGTTGGCCCCTCTCCTCTGTGGCTTAGCCTGGGCCTTACCCTCCTAGCTTCCCTCTCTTAGCTTCCCTCCCTCTTCTTGGCTGCAAGCTGCTTACCTGCACGTTCCTGTTGAGGCTGACAGCAGGGAAGAAGAGGCCCTCCACATTATCAAAAGCAATGGGACCTTGTTGTTCATCGTTGATAAAGAAGGTCAGCGTTTTTCTGTTTAAGTCAAGAAGGACCCCAACGGTGGCCCCTTTTGTGATCCCTCCCTCAGTTCTGTGGGAAAAGAAAGACTAGGTTTCATTCCAGAAGCTCTTTTTTTTTTTTTTTTTTAGTAAATCAGTGCTTTTTTAGCCTGTTTCAAATGATTGTGGCCTACTACCCCCAACCTTTCCAAACATTGTTTTTTTGTTTTGTTTTGTTTTTTGGCCAATCAATTCTTCTGATACAGAAATTGAACACCACAGATATACCTGTTTAGGTGCTGACTATATATCTGTGATCCACATAGCTATAAAGGGGCAGGTTGTTTTGTCTCTCACCCACCAATGTTGCCTCCCAGGACAGGGAAATGGGCCCCTGGAGAGAACGTTGGAGCTGCTCTGCTGTTGCTGAGGGTGAATGCATTCATATGGGGTAGACACCAAGGCACAGCAGTAGAATAAAAAACACTACTAAAGAGATACAAAAATGCAGACTTTCTGCTATCAGAGCTCTAACTTGTAGCTATATGGCAAGGTTTGCACAAATGGTGTGAATTAAATATCGTTAAATATAGCTTCATTTGAAAATCAAAATAAAGATGTATGTAGGCTGAGCCAAAATCCATACGCATAAACACTGGATTTTGGATTTTATACTACCTATGAAATAGAAAATTCATTGCAGAAAATTGGTAATTTTTAGCATGTTGAATTGGAACTAAGAAGATAGAGGTTGTCCTTAAAATGACAACACAGAAGAAGAGGATTCTTCCTGGTGAGGTGAAATAATTACATGGTGGGAAATGAAGTGATGTTAAGGAACCTGCATAGCACTGTCCTCTGACGAACAATTGTGTCTTATACTTCAACTGATGAACTCACAAAATACCAATGGACAATTAAACAGGGGCCATCAGATTCGTGTTTATTCCCTGAGATTTAACTGTACTGAATGTCATCCTCATCTCAGCAGAGCAGGGGAATGGAAAAGTATCATTCAATTCCTCTTGCATGCAGAATACAAACAGTTCATAGCTACTGAAGGACAGACTTACACAGAATCTCGTCATCACCAGGTTTAACAATTACACCACATGTGACATGCAGGTAACCAGCAAGCAGATGTGTTCAGCATTAAGAACGTGTTTCTCTGCTTTGTGTGATAATCGTGTTGTTATCTACTCCTTTTCTCCAAAGGAATGAATCCCAAAGGACAAAATGTAAGCATAGTATATTGGTGATGGCAAAAGGAGTCTAGGGACACAGAGTTCCCCAAAATGTCAACCACTGAAAACCATGTGTGCTCCCTTCAACAGAGATACAAGCGAAATATCCTGGGGAACAGGAGGCCCTGGAAGCTTCCTGGCTACAGAGAGGTCAGTGATGAGCCTATAGGAACAGCTGAAATGGTGGAAACCAGTTATCCTGGCTTGCTTTCTTTTTGATCCAATTGAACACAGCTCAATTATCTGATTCTGCCCTGTCCCCACAGGGAATCCCATGAGAAAATGTATTAAAATCTATTTATCAGGCCCAGTGCAATGGTTCAGTGGCTAAATCCTTGCCTGGTATGCGCTGGGATCACATATGGGTGCCCAGCTCCATGCTTGTGGCCTGGGGAAAGCAGTAGAGGATGGCCAAAAGTTTTGGGACCCTGCACCTGTGTAGGAGACCTGGAAGAAGCTCCTGGCTCCTGGTTCCTGTCTTTGGATTTGCTCAGCAATGACCCCTGCGGCCACTTGGGGAGTGAACCAGTGGACAGAAGGTCTTTCTCTCTGTAAATCTTCCTTTCCAATAAAAATAAATACATCTTTAAATTACATTTACCTATATGTTGAAGATAAAAAAAAATCTTAAGAAAATTATTGTGTCCTCTTAGTCTCAGCAAATTGGATGCTCTCTTTCATACGACATTGAGAGAATCCTCTAAGAAGAAAGCTATCCAGATGAGCATCCACATAATTTAGTTTAAGGAGTGGCTTCTATTCTGAGCATCATATTCATAATAAGCATAGTAACCACAGTCACTGTATATTCTGGTGTCTCCAGTGGGAGACATCTTTATGTAGCTCATTTAATCTTTAGAACATTCTTATACAGAAAAAATATTATACTCATTTGGTGGATTTGGAAACTGAGACTGAGAAATGTAATTTGTCCCAAAGTGCTTCTGTGTTAAGATGCAGGTGTAGGTTTTAGAATCCTGTGTGATTTGCAGTGCATATGCATGGGCATTCTGACCTTCCAGAGACAGGTGGAGTTTAGCAATGCAGAAAATAAACCACCACCCACTGGATGGACTCCACTAAGAGCAGTGTATCTCCTGCGTTTTTCAATGAACACCAGCACCTGCCCCTCCTTGATATGGTCCACGTAACAGCTCTTTGCACTTGGGCTTTCTCTGCTGACCAGAAGCCAACGTGAAGAAGGCTTGGTTTGGGGGCTGCAGGGGTACCTGTTGGTGTGCGAGTTGTTGTGCATGAACCAGCTCCGGTTATTGTCCACATACATTGCCCAAGCTTTGTCGTCCTTGCCTAACATCACATCCTTCATCACGTCAATGCGAGCCACGCCAAAGGCAGGATCAGGGTGGTTGTCATAACGGTCTACAGTCAGCTCCCAGTAGTGCACGCCCTTGGAGAAGCCAGTCTTCCCCAGCACCACCCGGTCATCATAGCTGCTGCAGGTCACTGTCAGGTTGTCATTGGAGAAGATGATGTCTGAGTGTGCCGAGCCAGGGTCAAAAGCAAACCAGGCCACTGGGAACAATAGAAAGGAGTAGGGTTATTAAGGTGAACCCAACAAGTTCAAGTGTCAGAGTACACTCCTGGGTGGGGTGAGGAGCATTGTGTTGCATTTTCATGCTGTCATGCGGGAAGAAAGTGATTGGGACTGGAGGGGCCATAAGTGGCCTGGGAGTTGGTACCCTCTGCAGCAGAAGCAGGCAGAGGACACATGACCGAGTCAACAGGGGTTACCTGGCTTAGACTGTACTCCCCTGCAGCGCTCCAGGAGTGAAGTGGCATCGATTTTGGAAGGTGCAAGTTCCTTCACCTGGTGACTGGCAGAACAGTGCACCAGAGACATAAAGGGAGAGGGAAGGCACTAACAGCCTGTGTGAGCCCTGAGTGGGGGGGAGGCTAGGATCTAGAGCCCTAGATAGAGGGGGACAAAACACATGGAATGAAAATGGGAAATATCCCTTCAGTAGAAGTGCTGGAATGTAGTCATTTGGAAGATTACCATGGCTCTAATAAAAGCTCAGACCACAAAGCTCTAAGCAACTCACACACTGATGTTCTTAAGTGAGACTTGAGTGTAGGACAGGTTGCTTCCTCTGTACTTAAAAATTCAAATTATGGGTTGCTTCTACAACTAACATGTAAAATGATTTGCTTGAGCCATAGGTATGTGGCTGTTAGGTCCAGATAGAAGGAGGTTTTCCTACAAGTTGTTACTTCCTAAATTCTAAAAGCTGCTGACAAATACCATGATCTGGTAAGACAGGATTGCTGCTTAATGGAACCTGTGAGCCATCTCACATCATGCACTCTGGTAACAGAATAAGGTGGTTTCGTACCTGCCAACAGCTTTTTAATGTCAACTGTGGTCATTCCAAGTGAAAGGCATGAGGGAGAGAAATGGGAAGCAAAATTGATATTGATAAGAAAGCATGTCGCTTTAGGTCGACTTTTACCAAAAAAAGGCCTCAATCTAAAAGACTCCATGTACTACAAGAGCTGATATGACTACTGATTGTTTGCACTGACGTATAAAAACAAAACAAAACAAAATAAAAGGGAGTGGGAGTAAGCTTAGGGGCACATAACACTAAAAAATCCAAGCATCTTTTCCACTACTAAGGATTTGAGAAACTGCTTTAATGGAGTTAGAAGGACAAGTAGACAAATTTATTGACATAATAGAAGCTGCTGCCATTTATTTCATGAAGAAAATTGACACATCAATCCCACAAGTAAAAGAACAATTACAATAGGTATACTTGCCTAATTGAGAGTAAGGTGCGGACTGTGTCTCAAAATTGCATCCTATGAAGAGATACTACACATCAAAACTACGAAACAACCAATGTGACAAATTATTTGCACACACTTGTAAGAGCACCAGCTGAATATAGTCGCTTGAGGCCTGATTCATGAAAAAACAATGCCCTTTTCATGTCAATATATTTGGCTGGGTACTAATGTCTCCTCAGTTCTTTCAAAATCAACAATTCATCTTCTTACCATTTCCTAAGTCCTCCTTCAATTGACTCTAAACTCTGCAGCTTACATTTTCAAATATTTTCCATTAGTGCTTCCATACTGAGAACACTGTTTTTTTGGAAAGAGAAAAATTTATCCCCCACTGAAATGTAGAAAGTCCCAGGTCTTTGGAGAAACAGCTCTATTTCACTCTTTCCTGCCTGTCCAACTGTGGCCATGCTGAATAGTCCATCCTGTGACCGGGGTCCAAGTTAAATCACAGACATCTTTTCCATTTCTTTGACTCAACAATCCTCACCTGGAGGAGCAGAAGGGGTGCTGGGAGTGCATGTGGTCTTACAGTTTTTTCCCTTCCTAAGGTTTAGACCCCCTACCCCATGAGGAGATGCCTCAGGATGGAGGAGGATGGTCTCATTTAAAAATGCTTCACATGAATAACCTATAATTTCCAAGGGTGTTGGATCCAGAAAATTTGGTTTTGATTATTACTAGAGAAAAGATCATTTCTTTTTTTTTCAATTTAGTAAGACCCTATATGATAATTTCTAAAAGGACTTAAAATAAATTTGCAAGATTTAAAAATTAAAAGAGAACTAATGACCAAATTAAAATAAAATTGAAAGCTTCTGATTTTAATTTTGGTTAGTTTACTTTACCCTGTGATGAATTCACATTAAAAAATCATTTTCTTCTGACTCACAGTGATGTTCATGGTTAGAGTCTCTTCACTGTCATTTCCATTCCCGCTCATATAGTTCATGGTGAGTTTGAAACATTCAAAGATTTAAAACTGGATCTCATAGCCAGCTTTGGAGATAAGTATGTAGACTGAATAGGGCTTCAACAATTTTTAAATGAATCATGCCTTGTGCAAGTTTTTTTTCACAACAAGTATTCTGAAATTTTTGACACTACTTTCAACCCACCATCATACATTTAATATTCATCGGTATAACTAGAACAGTGAGTTTTATACAGCCATCAAATATCACTAATCCCACATTTCATTTTATTCTTAAGACAATATACATTACAAAGACTGTAACAATATTGCAGTACATCAGACACAGTGAGAAGAGTTCCATAACAAAGCATGTTGAAAAGCCAGTAGTGCACAGAAAAACAATAGGAAACAGAAAGCACAAAGGAAAAATGTCATTTTCAAGAGGGCTGGAAGTACTCGCATCCTTTTTGCACTGACATGCTGTGGCTTTCTTCATTCCAGGATGTGGGATGAGCCAAAGGAATAAAACAAACAACAAAAGAAACCTTTGGAAATGTGAAATGTACATCAGGTGTATCCATGATTACAATATAGTCCTGAAGAGATCAAATCTGTATCTTAGATAGTTTAGTAAGGTTGTTTGCTAGATGGAATTCACTGCAAAGTACAAGTGTGGCTTCCCTGAAGTCAGCCAGCAGCCCTGTGTCTTAGGCTTGGTCACGGGACACTTTGCAGGGGACAGACTTTGTAATTACTCAGATCTTTGGGCACTGGGCGTTAGGAGTTAAGGGTTTCTAATGAAGCCAGTGGTGCTCTCTCCTATTAGGAAACTGTCAGCCATGAGCCCAGACAGTCCTACTAGGGAGCACAGACTTTTGCAGAAAATGTTTTTGCTTTCTGCTGAGTTGCTTGTTTTGTAAGATGAATTCTGCTGCTGGTGTACGTGATTTTTTTTTATATTTAAAAAAAATTTATTTTGTCAGTGAAGATCTCTTGAGTCTATGTTTAATCAGACCACTCCAGGCTGGATGCGCTGATCCAGTCTCCAGTCACAGCTGGTTTCCTGGATACAGTTGGGCTGCCAACCTCTGCAGTACTGCCACAGCCTCCACCCAGCCCGCCCTGTGCCCCTGCGAGGCCACTGTGTGTGATGACAGAGTGGGGTTATCCATGGCCGGACCAGCTTGTGCAAAAAGAACTACTTCACTCATAGCTTTCCAATGCCGTTATACACAGGCCACAGCCTCATGGTTGGTCCTCACAGCACACAAACAAAAACGCCACGAAACTCCATAGTTCACCTTCTCCCGAAGCAGCCACAGACACAAAGACTAGCTCATCCCCCTCACTGTGCACACACGAACGGCAAGAACAAAACAGGGTATTCAGAGGCGCCACCAAGGCACAGAGCTCAAGAGGAAAAGTGCTAAGAGAGCTCGGCTCACCGGGTGCATTGAGAGACTGTAAGGAAGAATGCAAGCTCGGCTGGTGGAGTGAGGATCTGAGACCAAAGTAGGATCTCCCCGGGAAGCTGGCTTGTAGATTAAGGGTGGAGGAGAAAGGACTCATTCTACGGAGCGGCAATCTTTCCGAAGGCACTGGAAAAGGGAGAGTCTGCTCTTCTGAATCTGGGTCTAAACGTAAGATCAATGCAAACTAGAGATCAGAAATCTGCTTCCTGCCCATGCATGCTTCCCCAAGACCTGCCCTTGGGATGCAACCCCACAGTCTCATCTGTCCTTCTGCTCATATATGCAGGTGTGAACAAAACCACTGTGCCCGGGGCCAGAGCAACCCAAGATACATGGCAAACACTTTCGGTTCCCTCCACTTTTTAGTGGTAGAAGTGTTTTGGGAAGGTTTCCTTTTAACTAAATGAAGCAGTTTCGAATTGAATTTAGAAACTTCAATGTTCAGTTTTACTAACTGATGGCTGATAGAAAACTTCATCTATTTTAGCCACTTTGAAAGTCACTGCCATGTTAACAACAGCCCTCTTACAGGATTTCTCTGTAGCAGATGATGATCTTTGCAAATTGTTTGCTGTTCCCACTTTTTCCTTTTCTCTGCACTTATATATACATATATATATATACACACACATATACACATATGTATACATATATAAATGCACGTATTTCATTTTCAGATGGATGGGCAGATTTTCTATACTACTAGCATGCTCAAATCTTAGAGTAGAAGAGGACAGATGGGATGACCTAAGAAACTTGGTGCTGGACAAATAGTGAGGAAAACAGCCTTTCCTTGGTTTCTGCATTGTAATCAGGTCCCGGTAATATCGCTTGATTACCTGTGGTTCTCTAATGAACAGACTGTGAGCAGTGGTGAGGTGCACTAGTAGCAAAGGGTCTTTTGTTTTTCTTCCAGATAATCAGATCTGGTATAAAGAGCATTACTATATCAGAGTAAGGACTTGTGAACTATTAGATGTGGTACTAGAAGAGCTTGTGAATTAATTTCTCTAAGTTACTAAAATTCCTCTTTTCAGACCAGTGTTGGGTAGATAAAATCACTGCCTATGAACCTGGCATCCTATGTGAGTGCCAGTTCTTGTCCTAGCTACTCCACCTCTGTGAAACAGGGGAGCACGGCCCAAATGTTTGTGCCTCTGCCACTCATGTGGGAGACCTGAATGGAGCTCCTGGACCTGGCTTTGGCCTGATCACAGAGGCCATCTGGGAAGTGACAAAGCTAATGCATGCTCTATCAATCTCTCTTAATTCTCTATGTAACTTTCAAATAAACGAATCTCTCTTTTAAAGATCTTTTCTTTTTTTGCAAAACAGTAGTGAGTTCCATGGAGTTGTGTGGTCTGGTCAGAGATAGAACTTCATCAATAGTAGCCTCTATGTTATTAAGGTCAACTGCAATCATTCAGGATATACAGATGGCATGAAGGTAATATTCCATGTCTCAAACCACTGAGGGACTTTATTCTCACGAAAAGTGACTTTGTTGATGATCAGAGTGTGTTTCCGGGAATATTTTTTCTGGTTTGAGTTTTATAGTGTCTTTGTTTTGTTACACAACTCTCTCCTAGCACAAGGCATATTTAACCTAAGATAACTGACATGTGTGTAGAACATGGTCCTATTTGAATAGTCCAGAAAAGGGCATTGGTGAATTTTCATACTGCCAAGTGTCAGCTCATTTCCTATCCTAATCTCACAATATTAAAGTTAGCTTTAGACTTATCCTTGGAGGAAGATATTGTTTTTAAATAAACCAGATCTCAGAGAAAAGGAATTACTACTTATCAATTTAAGTATTTGTGTTCTCAATAATAATACACTTAAGTTTTCTTCTACTTAAATTTCATATGCTTTGGATGACTTAACATATACCATTATTCCTTTTGCTTGGGTAACAATTTTTTAAAAAATGTACATTATAATCCTCTTAACAAGGAAATAATATCTTTTAGTTTAATTGAAATACAACACAGTACTACAGACTGACATGGGCTAATTCTAGGAAACATATTTTCACCAGATGTGAACAATCAATTCATTATCTTGAAAATATTTGTGGCTTTAAAAATTAGCAGAAAGGACACACATGATAAGATTAATTTTGGAATATACTGAATCCCCAAGAAGACCTGAAAACCATGGAGAGATGTGCAATGCCATCATGAGTCATACTCACCTTTTCTAGTCTTGGCCTCAGGAAGAACTTAGTGTTGGCGATGGTACCACTTAGTGGGGTGAGGGCTGAGGGCAGTTACGTTTATTCATGGGATCAATAACTTTATGCTGAAATGGTATCATTTTTCCTATCTTTTATTTAGATCCATTGTCAACTAAAGATCCAATTTTCCTTTGCTCCTCTTTTTATATTCTTCATGCAAACACACTTACATAATATCCATACTATGAGCCATTCCATCTTTATTTTGCAGTTTTTCCCACCTATGACTTCCCATTGCTCACCTTCTGGGATCTTTCCACATTTTATAAACAGGTTCTTAAAAAACAAACAGAAAACAAATCCTACCTTGCCATGAGATCTTTCCAAATGAATTGACAGACAGAGAGAGAGAGAGAGAGAACTTTCTACCTAATCCCAATCCAATGAAACAATTCTTCCTTCATACCCTTCCCCATGGCATACAGGGTAAACATTTGGTCACTTCCTGTAGGTCATCTGTGTCCCTCCATATTATTTTAGAATGCACAAGCCTTGGAGGGAAGACAGTTATCTCAATATCAACCCTTAAGCTGCCCCTGTACATTTCCTCCATCTAGCACTACCCTCTACCACTTCATACATACTGTTTATATGCGCAGGTACATCAAGAAGTTCATAGAAAAAAGAAATTAAAAGCTAAGTTTGTTTTGGAGTAAAAAAAAAGCTAGCCTTCTTTTTTGGTCTCCTTTTTCTTTCCTTCTTCTGTACTATATCCTCATGGGTGACTCTCTGCTCCTATCAGGGCAAGTATCTCTTCATCAACTGCCAACACTCATGCCTGAATATATTCTGACTCTCTCACTTTAAACAAATCCTTCTTTAATTTACATACATTAAAATTGAAATTTATGTAGTGTTTTCATAGGGCATTTTCCAAGAACTTATTGAAGATGCCTTGGAGTTGGATATGCCCTCAGTTATGGTATTAGTATCCGGAGCCACATGGAATAATAAATCATTTGTTCAAGCGTTTGAGGCCAGTCACCAGTCCTCTTAAAACTTCCCTTTTGGGGGGACCATTTTTCTATGTATAGACTTTAAATCTTTCACTCTCTTGAACATATGATCAAAAGTATGAACCAGAGGCAATGTGACAATAGTGAGAATGGTTATTGCCACACATGATTTGCCCAAATAATATTTAACTTACTTTGAACTCACAACTATCCTGGTGTGTATGCTGTTTTATACCCATGGGGGTTAGGTAGGATATATAGGTTACTTCTTCACCTCCTCTATAAAACACAATATTGAGATTTAGAGAAGCTTCATTGCCATAATATTCTATTATCAGAGGAATGATGAATAAAGTTTTCATGTTTTTAAGTTTTGTAGAATATATGATATGAAGCTAGGTTTTAGATTTGGGCTAACCTCCAGGGTGATTATTATAAATTTTTTTCTGGAAATCATTAAAGAAAGCTAAGTTGCTCCTTAGGAGATTGTTAATATCTCATCATGTGTTGTCATATGTAGTGATGCTATCTGGTTGAAGAGCTCTGCAGAGTGAAAGCAGTTTAGGAGGGAGAGCAATGGAAAGTAACATGTCAGTGGCTGACTGTAGGGGCTCTACCCATTAACTATGGGGACTGTGTTCAAAAAGAGAATGGACCAAGACTTGCCCTTTCATCAACTCTGCCAGCTACCATTATTTCCTCTTGCTCTTTCCTGGACTTATTTTCTCCATGTAGGACTGACCTGATTGTAGGGTAAGGGCCTACATGAGGGCAGAAGCCTCTGCTCAAAAGAGGACTTTGGGAATTACCAAGGCAAGGATCAATAGGAAAACCACATGTATTACTACTTGTGGGTTCAAGAAGAACAAAAAAAATCTGAAAGGTGCATTACCATTTGACTCACTGCATATTTCCTTTGTTAGTGAACATGATGGAATACCTACAATGTGTTAGACATTACTTCAGAATTTAGAGGTTGGGAAAAATGAAATTGACAGGAGAGCTGATCATAAGAAGGGTAATTTAGAGAAAACTTGTGTAATATATGAGCATGATTGATTGGGTTTTTCTACTTCTGCAGGTGGACTTTCTTAACCAACTCCAACCTGTACAGGACACAAAAGTTTTATATGGATGATACAGAAAATTTTGAAAATGTGAAGTACTGTCTTTGAGGTACTAGTTTTGGAATTCGAACAGGAAAAGCAAACAGTTTCCATAAGGCAATGGACACTAATACAGCTTTTTTTATATTCAGGCAGAAGTCTTGTTTGTCTGTCTAGCAGTGAACAGCTCCACAAACTAACCAGCCGTTGGGTTCTGGTCCAAAAAGATGGTTGTATTTTAGAACAGGGTAAAGCAAAAAATATGTATATCAGTTATGAACTGCACAAGCTGTGTTAAAGATGAGTTTCAGTTCTATTATAAACCAGCTATAATTTGCTTTTTGGGGAAGATTTTAAAAGAGACAAAGAAATGAATGAAGAAGGAGGCTGAGATTTCTTGAATGATCTAATAAGCAGCCTAAATCATAATTATGTCCAACTGGTACATAATTTATAACAAAAGGTGGCATTTTAAGCTTTCTTGAGCACAGCATTAACTGCAGTTGGAGTGGGAGAAACAAGTCTGTTTTGAAAACCTCATTTTAGAAGAAGGAAATAACTTTTTCTAATACTAGAAGGACTGCATACTTCCTTGCCCAAGTGCCCCATTCCAAACTGGAACACGCATGGCATTATTGTAAGGAACAATAATAAGAACCAAAAATTCCTACATTTTAATTAAATGCAGAAGAGTCCATAGTGTGAGCCACAATACACTAGGGTTCTGGATCCAATTTAGTCCTATGGAAAAATCCAGGAAATTACCTGGAATATCAGGTCAAAGTGAAAACTAACAAAGTGTTCCTATTGAATTCTGAAATCCATCATGATACCACTGGCTCCAGATTTTGTAAGCTTTAC